GGGAGAGGACACGGAGGGGGAATTGGTTTGGGGGCAGGGAGAAGGGCTCTGTGGGGTCTGTCTGGGGAGAGGACACGGAGGGGGGGTTGGTTTGGGGGCAGGGAGAAGGGCTCTGTGGGGTCAGCGTCTGGGGAGAGGCCAGTGTGGGGGTGTGTTAAGGGAAGGGCACTGTCCAGTGATGTGTGAGGGGGGGCACTGAGATGGGGTTGGTTTGGGGCAAAGGGAGGGGCTCTGCAAGGTTGCTATTTGTGGAGGGGCACTGAGGGGAGGTAGGTTTGGGGGTAATGGGGGGTAGGGAGAGGGAGGGTCTGTGGGGTCAGTGTTCAGGGACAGTGCACTGACGGGGGTTGGTTTGGAGTAGTGTGGGGGTAGGGGACACTAGTGTCAGTCGGTTTGGGGCAGGGGAATGGACTCTGGGGTCAGTGTCGGGGAAAGGGGCACTGAAGTGGGGTGGGGTTGGTTTGGTGAGACTGGGGCAGTATGGGGAGATGGGAGCAGGGAGAGGGGCATTGTGTAGGGTCACTGTTCAGGGGTATGTAGGCACGAAGGTGGCGGGCAGTGTTGTTGGCCGCCCGGCAGGTGTTGCAGTTAAGCAAATAGCTCCGAGGACACGCTAAGCTCTGCGGGGCTGTGATGCTGTGGCTCATTCTGTGCTGATGGGCATCTCTGCCCTTCTTCCGGAAGGGTAAGCAAGGGAGCAAGCCTCTCCCTGCCAGTTACCCCCTGGTAGCTCCCTCTTTGCCCCCCATTGTTTCCCTTGCAGTTGTCACTTCCCCATTGGTCAGGGTCTGAATGACTTAAAGCAGACATCTCACTTTGGTCGTTGAGCCCTCCCTGTTATGTGCTAGTGAGGGGCACTGTACTAAACCATTCTTGGGTGAATGGCTCATACAGAAGGGTCTGCAGCACTTATGAATTGTGAGTTGTCACTTGTTAGTTTGTCAGGTTGGGCATTTTCAGGGAAACAATATTAATAAAGGACTAAACTACACACAGTTGTACATAAGGCTGTTCATTGGCATTTGGTGACCTAACCTGATAGGGCATTCAAAATGAAAATATATCTTTAGTTTTCAGTTCTGGAACCTGTCATGAGCAACCCTGTGCTTACATGTAGCCTTACTTGCATAGAGCAGCTTGCAAGATTGGGGCTTTAATTTGTGTGTACTTACTGGGTATGTAAAATAGTAGAATAATTTAATATCTGGTTGTAAATTGATAGAGTTGGAAAGGGATTTTCTAAGTACATTGTTGCCCTATCAGTCAGGTGCATTTGGGTAAGGCAACCAAATGTATTTGGTCTGACTAGGTATGGCAAGTATTGTGATTATCTACTCTGGGTTGTGTTAAAAACATTTAACTATATTAGCACTGTTTGGAAATTGGCATGGTTTTACAAGTACTCCTGTTCTTTTCATGGTTTTACAGTGCAGTTTAAAATCTTTAGCCACCTGTAATAAATTCTCTGTGTATCTTGCAAACTGTTAGAACAAATTTGGGTGGAATGGGTGAGAAATGGAGAACATACTAATGCCCCATACACATACTTAATTTTACTACTATTAGTTCCATCCAGTAGATTTCCCTTCCTCATATTGGATTATCATCCTGGAGAAGGTGGTAGTGGGGGGGAAAAAAACAAACAAACAAAAAAAACGAACACCCAAAGACACAATTAAGTTAGTAGCTGCATGGGTCTACCACTTCAGACAAAAGAGGCAGTAAAATTAAGGGAATATGGTAAACATTTGCACTGACTTCAAGGCAAAATTGGCAAAGTAAGTAAACTTGAAACTAGTCCTAGTTTCAAAAAAACTTGTTTTGTTTTTATTATATATGTTTCATCATCCTTTTTCTGGCTTACAACATTGAAATGGTAATGCAATAGATTGCTATGTATGTCGCATAGTGGCATCATAATCATGCCACCAGGAGCTGCAAATGAAACCAGCACCTAGGGATTTTTGTGTTGTGGAGCCCCAGCAGAGAAACTAAGGCCAGGTATACACTTAAAAATTTTGCTTTTTTATTTTTAACAAAATAGCTATGCTGGCAAAAGCCTTAGTGTAGTTATACGCTAAAAATGTGCCTTTGCTGGTATAGCTCATTTTGCTTGCTAAACCAGTATCAGCTATACCAGTGGGTCTCAAACTTTTTTAATGGTGACCCCTTTCACATCACAAGCCTCTGAATGCAACCCCCCTAATACATTTTCCTCGCTGCGGGGAGCTGCAACTTTGTTCTATAGCCACAGCACCGTCTCGTGGGCAAAAGGTGGAATTGCATAAGTTATTTTTTGCGGGGAGCTGCTGCTGTTCTTGTGCACAGCGCCCTCTGGTGGGCAAAAGGCGGAACCGCAGCAAGATTTTGGCAGACGCTTTTTTCTGTATGAAAACTTAGAAATCTGCGGGAGTCATTAAATATGCGTGCACGCAGTAGCGCAGAACTCCCCCAGGAGTAAAGAGTATCTCCATTGAGTGGGGGGGAAGGGGTTACTTGTATCATTGTATCAGTTTAATGTCACACCTTAAGTTATTCTGAAAAAAACTTTCCTGTGTATACTAAGGCTAAGTGAAAGCTATTTTAAAAGTACCTTTTCCTTAGGCCTTGTCTTCATTAGGAAAAGGTGTTTTTTTTAACATGTTTGCTACAATATGTTAATAAGTATGTGTTAAAATCCTAGACTAGAAAAGGCAAGATGTTTTTGTAAATGTATCTCCTAGGATTTACCTTAATTAGTTAATGTGTTAAAAATATCTCTTTGTGTAGTGTTGACATGGCTGGCCCGAGTTAGTGCAGGGCTAGATCTTCCCTGAGCAGAGTTTAGACAGCATGGCCATCAGCATTTTGTTTACTGTAGCTAAACCAGTGGTGGGGAATTTTTGGCAAAAAGTTTAGTGTACTGTACATGCGTGTTCTCATGTTACTTTGCTGTGATTAATAAGGGTGTAAAGCAGAAAGAACAGGAGTACTTGTGGCACCTTAGAGACTAACAAATTTATTAGAGCATAAGCTTTCGTGGACTACAGCCCACTTCTTCAGATGCATAGTCCACGAAAGCTTATGCTCTAATAAATTTGTTAGTCTCTAAGGTGCCACAAGTACTCCTGTTCTTTTTGCGGATACAGACTAACATGGCTGCTACTCTGAAAGGTGTAAAGCAGGTTTTCTCCCTTAATGTATTAATTGAGGGCCAGCTCCAGTAGTCCTTATTTGGGTTTATGTCAGTGGGAGCTTTGCTCAAGTAAGGAATGCAAGATCTTGCCTGCAGCTTCTAGGGAATATAAGAGAGATGGCTTTTTGGTGGGAAGATTTTATCCACAAAATACTTACTTTAAAAACTTTTGAAAGCATAATGTTGAACTCGGTCATATTTATTTTTTTTTGTTAACTATAATTTTGTTTAATTTTAGGAAAGGCCCATATAGAAGGTGGATCAGCACGAATGTCACTCCTCATATTAGTGTCCATCTTTCTGTCTGCTGCTTCGATTATGTTTCTAGTATATAAATATTTTCCACAGCTTAGTGAGTAAGTATATTGAGAAGGATTAATTTGCTGGCTTCTCTTTGTAGTATCCTCTACAACTAAAGGTTTTAGGACAGGGGTGGCCAACCTGAGCCTGAGAAGGAGCCAGAATTTACCAACATACATTGCCAAAGAGCTACAGTAATATGTCAGCAGTCCCCCATTAGCTCTCCCAGCGCCTCCCACTCACTGGCAGCCCTGCCGATCTGCTGTTTTGTGGCATGCAGGAGGCTCTGGGAGGGAATGGGAGGAGCGAGGGCATGGCAGGCTACGGGGAGGGGGCAGGAAGGACTGGAGTGGGGGCAAGGCCTGTGGCAGAGCCAGGGGTTGAGCAGTGAGCACCCCTCGGCACATTGGAAAGTTGGTGCCTGTAGCTCCAACCCTGGAGTCGGTGCCTATACAAGGAGCCGCATATTAACTTCTGAAGAGCCGCATGTGGCTCCGGAGCTACAGGTTGGCCACCCCCGTTTTTGGAGGTCCCCAAACTGACATACGTGAACATTTTCATAACGTGATAGAAATATGAAAAAGGGGGTGGGGTGGAAGGAAATTCATTAGACAACCCAGGAAGTCAAAATATAAAACCTCAAAGTTGGAAATATCCATAAGCAAGTGCTGGAGACTGCCAGTCAGTGCTAGTCTAAAAGCAAAAGTTGTATCATTTTAACTATACTGCTATAATTAAAGCAGTACAACCTTCCTGTCTTTGGATACAGTTATACTGGTATAAATGTGATTTATACCGGTGTTGTTTGTTCTCATATAGGTGGGGGAAATAAGCTATACCTATATAAGGCACGTATATACTGGTATAATTGTGTCCACAGTGAGGAGGTTGTATTGCTTTTAACTATAGTGGCCAAAAAATAAAATTATATCTCATGCCGAACTGAAATAAGGTATAACAGTACAAAAATTGTACTGCATACTTCAACTTTAAAAAGGCAAAAAAAGAAAATACGCACCCATAAGGCAAAATACCTGAAAAATGTCTCCTCTTGTGTAGAAGGATGTAACACTCCATCCCTCCCAAAAAATCTCAGTCAATGTTAATTTTTCTTCATCTGTATAATCTGAACAAGGAGAAATAATGTTGAAAACACCTAAAATTATCTGAGGGTTTGAGCTGCAGAATCCTATAGATTTGTGTTCTCTGCCTAGGAAAGTTATCACACCAACAATTAGACTAATTGTTTTGCTCACATTATAGCTCTTTGATTTATTATCTTATATTGGGGCAAATGAGTTTTAAAATTTTATTTATTGATTACTTAGCCTAATTCCTGGAATTCTTTTTTTTTCTTCAGAGAAGAGAGAGAATGTATAAAGATTCCCAGAGACATGGATGATGCCAAGGCCTTAGGAAAAGTCCTCTCCAAATACAAAGACACCTTCTACGTCCAAGTATTAGTGGCTTATTTTGCCACATATGTTTTGTATCCTTTTCCTGGTGATCTGAAAGTTGTTTAGTTGCAGTTAATGGTGTTTTTCTCTGAAAAATTTGAAGGGGGGATGTAAACATTGAAGGAGGGATGTAAAAGAGGATGAAGATTAAAAATGTAACTATTGGGTTAGGTATTGAAATGCACAAGAATATTGAACTCTAAAGTACTTAGTCATTTTCTTGTGTATTTCAGTGCCTGCCTGCCTGTAAGAATGGACCAGACTGGCAGAATGAAAGTTGTACACTAGTAAATGCAGCTAGAAAGTTGTTTTAAATCTACCAATCTTGACTGTCCTTTTTGGAAATAGTTCTTAATATGTAACTTAAACTATCTGGCTTTATAGAACATATTGGTTCAATTGTTTCAAATCATTTGTATGGATCTTGTGGAGATCTTAAAAAGAAAATCAAAATTAAGTACAGCCCCACATTCCTAAGATACTCAAACACTGCATCTATTACAGCTACTATAAAAAGAGAGAATTTAAATTTGTATCTGGGGCATTTCTCAGAAGTATTTCAAGGCACGCCTTAATTCCTGTAATGCCTATTTTACACAAAGAATTGCTGGATCTCTTTATGTGAAGTTAACAAGAACAAGATATTTGGAGTTAAAATACAGTCTAATTGTTACTCCAAGCAGCAGTTCTCTTTTTGTTGGTAGTGATGCAGAGTTCAGAATATATTAATTAGTAATAAAAAATGCGTAGATAAAAATTAACCTTCAATGGTTGTTCCACTTACAGTTTTTAAAAAAGGATGGTGGAGGAGGTCTTCTCTATAACTCAATATGAGAGGTTTTAGTAACTCAAAACAGGGTTATCCAATGTCATTAATTCAGTAATGATTTATCTTACAACTGCTTCTATTCCAAAAAGCAGTTGTTCACAAATAACATTTTTAATGGATCCTATACAAAAGGGAAATGAGTTGAAATGACAAAGATGGATGTAAGGTAACAAGTGTTTAAAAAAAACCAATCAGCTGTCTAATTAAATACCATGACATCTGCTGCTTTAATAGTTAAATGTTGCTCTTCTTAGATTAGTGACAGACTTTGGTCAACTAATGTGCATGCTGTGATGTGTTTATCTCAAACCCTTGAAATATGCTTACAAAGCAATTTTACACTTTGTTCATTTACTCTGAGTTTGATACTGTTTGTCTTGTTATTCTAATCAGTCACACACAGTTAATATCAGGATGGCACTTTAAATTATGATTAATACTAAATTTTTTACAAGTTCCCTTACCAATGAATTAAGCATTTTGCCCCTATTGATAATACTAGGGAACCACATGTGTGTGCTGGAGCAGATATCCCTCCCAGGTGTTATGGAAGAGAAGATCTTGCTCCCTAGTGGCGTCATTAGCCAGACCTCCCTTGCTTGAGCCAGGCATGGGCCTCTGTGAAAAGGCAGCACCAAAAGAGTTCCAGCAACCTCCCTTGTTACTAGATGGGGCAGTAGCACTTGCACCTGACACCTTCAAGGCATTCTAGTACCCGCTGACCTGGTTCTCTGAGGCTCTGAGCATTGAAATCTCAGTGACCCAGGAAAAGGTCATTAAGTTCTTTGACATCCTGAACTCCTCAGCCCCAGCCAGGATTGCCCTCCCTATCAGTGAGGGCACACTTGAACTCGAGAAGGGCATAATCTTCACCTTTGGCAGACCCCAACCACTTTCCCTCCCTCATCTAAAAGGAGCAAAAAAGAGGAGCCACAAAAGAGCTTTGAAACTTTATATGCTTAACGTAACCTAGGGTGACTTGTGATATCAGCAGTACAGGAAAAATCCAGGTTTGCAAAGGGCACCCCAGAAAAGAGACCATAAAAAAAGGACCTTTTTTTGGTGTAAGACTGATTCCTTAGCATCACTACTAAGGTCTTGTGTTCTAAAGTAAAATATCAGGCTTTGTTCAAAATATAATTTTGGGAGATAAGAGCAAGTCCACTTTACGACAATGCTCCCACAGGATAACAAGAGAGAACTCTGAGAGCTCATGAAGGTGGGTCAAATGGTCTCAAAGATATCCTTACAAGTAGCCATGGTTGTATCAGACTCTGCCATCACCATGAGATGGGCTTTGGTTTCAAGTGTTCGGCATTTCCAAGAAGTGCAATGCACTTTGAAGGGATGGAGCTCTTCAGCAGCCAAACATCTGAAGTGTTCTACTCCCTTTAAGATTTTAGATTGTGATCCCTAGGGGAATGCACCCCAGTTCCCTATTGCAATCATACATATATCATCCTCAAAAGAGAGAGGCCCAAGGAGCAAGACTGGAGCCAAGTTAGAGCCTACCCTCACCTTCAGAAGCCACCTTGTTTTTTTCACCAGGTGTGGGTTGTGATTACAGTTGACCAATGGGTGCTAGGCATCATCAGTCCTGGCTAGTCTAACCATTTCCTTGCCTTTCCCCCTACGTACTCCTCCTCCTTCCCTGTCTTTTCAGAAACCCTTCTCATGAGAACCTGCTCCAAACAGGAGTGGCCTCGTTTCTTTGTCTAGAAGTCATAGAAGAGGTACTGCAGGAGTACGGGGAAAGATATTCTGCTATTTCCTTATTCTGAAGAAGAAAGGGGGCCTTTGTCCTATCCTAGAGCTGAGGAGATTGAATGAAAATGACACAGATTCAGGATGCTAACACTTGCCTCCATCATTCCATCACTTCAGACTCAATAGAGGCTTGTAACTGTCGACTTACAGTACTCATGCTTCGCATAGCTATCCATCCGGCCCCCAGGAAGTACCTGAAATTCATAGTAGGGCCAGCCATTACCAGTACAAGCAGTGAGTCTTCCCAAAATGCTTAGTGGTGGTGTCTGCAAACCGAGGAAGTATCAATGTCTACCTGATCCCAACAACAGCTGGCAACAAGCCTGAAATGTGCCTTCTGCCTGTTTGCCTAAGTGCACTTCTGTGTGAACTAAGAAGAATTGTCCTTCCCCCTATCACTATTGTTAGTGTTCACAGGAGCCATGATCAGCTCTGGTCAGTGAGGGCTTTTCTTCCAGAGGACAGAGTCCTATCATTGTAGTCATTTCTAAACAGAATAAAATCAAACCTGACTATGATGGTACAGACTTGTCTTGGACCTGTACACCACATTGGTGAGTGCTTGTGACAGTGCTTTCCAGACTTCCACTTGTGGCCCCTTCAACTTTGGCTCCAGTTAGCTTACTACTCAATAAGACATCAGATGAACAAGGTTGTAGTGCCACTTCATATCAACACAGAGCTGAATTGATGGCAAGAGCCCAAGAACTTTTTTTCCTCTACTTCCAGGCAGCAACTCCCAGTTCCCATGGACTTTATTGCTACCACTTTCTCAGTTTCATTTGCTAAAGTGGTCAACAATGATGTATCATAATTGAATTTGAATTGACACTTCAAGCAGATTAATACTGGACAAGGGAGTCCACCACTCTGAGTGCTTTTAGATTCATGCCTACATGACATCAATTACTCTAGGTTTGCATTTGGATGGCTTCCTTCACAACTGTGAGGACTAAAAATACAACTTTATAAAAAAACACTGAGTGAGCTTCTGCATAAGTTGAACATGTCGTGCTGATCACATAAATAAATACTTTAACTTAATCTGGACTATATGTTTGATATCCCTTATCTAGTTTATGTAGTGAGAAGTATGTAGTCCTTAACCTGGACCTCTAGGATGAAGAGGTTTTTAAAAGGGAAGAAATTTAGGGTAGGAAGGCGATCTCATGGTTGTCTGATATTACTATTGGTTTGTGTGCCAACATGTCACTTTTAAAAATTTAACACTTTTAAGAGGGTGTCCTATGCAATGGATTATTATATTAGACTTTAACTTTTCAAGACCTGGTTTCAAATTCTGGCGTACGTCACAAGCAAATATGGGTTTGGTCTTATCCTAGTACCAACATCCATAACACCTCCACAATGTTTTGGATGTTTTGGCAACTTCTGCCAAAAAAAATAAAAAATAAATAAAAAATTCTGCAGCTGAAACAAAAGTTAGAGGTTTGGGCAGGAATGACAAGGTGAAAAGTCTATGGTCAGTGTTATGTGGAAGGTCAGACTAGATTATTCTAGTGGTCCCTTCTGGCCTTAAAATCTAAGAAAAGTGGTGTGAGGCTGGAATGGTATGTGTATGCTGCAGGTGAAGAATGAGGTTTTGTTACTGGTCATATAGTACTTATTTGTACTGTACCTTATCAAAGCTGTTTCAGTCGTCCCATCACTCGAATGAACCCTAAACCTAAAATCTAAAAGAAAAAAACAGTTTGCACTGATTTAACTAAGAATGTCTTTGCAAAAATGATTTTGTTGAATTGGTGCAAGTTTATGTGGGCAAGGCCTTAAAAACTAATATATTAATGCATTGCTTCCCAAATATCTCTTGTAAACTGCTTATGCCAACAGTAGTATTTTGAGGATATACATATTTCTAATGTTCAGCTTGCAACTTGGTAAATACCATGATCACTTTTAAAATGAAGAATGTAAAAGTTCTAAGTAACATGATGTTCTATCCTTAACTGAGAAGCACTCAGCTTGCAAACATTTGCTATACCCGGCTCTATATTTCTCAGTATCCTCTCAGGGTTTCTTTATCCATTCCCATTAGCCTTATTTCTTGTCTGTCTGGTAAGTATGTATTTCTCCTTCCCCTCCCCCAATAAATTGGCATTTGGGATGACTGCTGTTGTGGTCAAGCAGGGTTTAGGAGCAACATCAAAAGTTATTTTTCCTCCCTTGGTATCCTGCTGTTAATTGATTTATCTCATTAGACTGGCCTACCACTTAGTAAAGCAACCCCCATCCTTTCATGTATTTATACCTGCTCCTGTATTTTTCACTTCATGCATCCGATGAAGTGGGTTCTAGCCCATGAAAGCTTATGTCCAAATAAAGTTGTTAGTCTCTAAGGTGCCACAAGGACTCATTGTTGTTTTTGCTGATCAGGTGGTTGGTTATGGGTATTTTAAATGAGTATTTAGGACCCACGCTGTGCAAAGGCAACAGAGTCTTGTAGAAACAGGCAAAGTTCTCCTGGTTTCACATTGTGTGTGTCACCAACTCAAAAACTCACAGTAGACTCATGGAGTTCTTACAAGCCCTGGAGCACATTAACACATGGGTTGGAGCTTGCAGACAGATCCCTGCTTCAAAGAGCTTGCAAATAAGGTCTTTATTCTACAAAACACCTAGCCGCACCCCCACCAAATCTAGTGCTGCTTGCTACTAAAGATTCAATGGGAGTACTCTGAAGAGCCAGAACTAGATCATATAACAAAGATCTGGGCTTAATGGTTTTCACACCTCTCCCCAGATGTAATGGAAATCTCTTGTCTGGACAAGTAATTTCCATTAATATTTTTAGCAGTAGTTTGGGGAGTGCTGTCTCTCCCCTGCTGCGGCAGCCCCCAAGCTGGGGCTGAGAAGCAAAGGGGTCTCTCCCCCAACATGGAGCTGAGGCTGGGAAGGAGGGCTGTCTTTCCCATGGCAGCTGTAGCCCTGGAGCTGGGGAAAGTCGCCTCTTTCTCAGGCCTCCACAGCCCTGCAGGTCCTAAATTTCCCCCATCCCCTCTTCTCACCCCACCACTCCCTCCCACCTACCCCATATTCCTCCTAATGCCACCACATCAGCTTAAATGTGTGTCTTCTCCAGGGTCCAGGCACCTAAGTAGTAGAACCGCATGTGCCTGCGCAGCTCCACTAATTAGGTGGGCAGCCCTTCATTTTCTTGTGTGCGGCTGCCCAGGTGCGCACCTTAGAGGGAACTATCTGTGGACCATCTGAATGGAACTCATGAGCCACTGGTGGTCCACGGACCACAGCTTGAGAACCTCTGGCCTAAGCAAAGCTGTTATAGAAAAGATTCTAACGATTGGTGTTGTATGTGTATATGTAGGAGTGGCTAACACAGACAATTAAAAGGAGAACCCTGTATAGGGTGACCAGACGTCCCGATTTTATCGGGACCGTCCCGATATTTCCTTGTTTGTCCCG